AAAGCGATAAACTGCAGCCCATTGTGCATCGGCTTGACTATCGTTTGAGAGAACGACCCTTGCATCACCGGCATTGTTGTGGGCTGTAACACAAAGCTCTTTTTTTTTTTTTTTTTTTTTTTTTTTTTTTTCTACCTCTTGCCATTTTCGTGCGCCGCCCACCCTTTCCATTCTCATTTCTCGAGGCTGTCTGCTGCCGAAGGGGATAATTCATTCGTTGTAATGACAAAAAGAGCATTACGGGAATTCTATCGTAATATAATTTTCTCTCGAAAAGAATTGCAGAACAAAGCATTAATCTGTTTCGAACCGTGCAATAGCAAACAGCTGAAAAAAAATTCATCGGAATCATTTAGATATACAGAGATTTGTAATGCTATATTAAACTTTAATTTTCATAACTCATTTCTGAAATTTCTGTATATAAAAAAAAAAACAAGAATATATACGACTACGACAGAGTTGAGAACAAGATATCTCGAACAACTTTGCATGTGTAAGCGCGAGTCGAGCGTCAGACGTAAAACTAAGTAATCCTTCCGAGTTAGAGGAGTTCCACTATTTTATCTCTCGCGCGATTCTCCGACGAACTCACTTCATTGGTTTTCCTGAGATACTGCGAAAGCGGCTAAGTCGGGAAACGCTAACGTAAGGAAACTCGGTCGAGCACACGGAGTGAGTCTGATTTCTTCTTCTGGGCAAGTATAGCGCAATAAGCGTATATAAGGGAAGCGAGAAATCTCCCTTTTCCATTTTCCCTGGCTTCGCCGTAACGAAGCGCGTACATTGCACGTGTACGGTAGAACAGATACATCGAGCAAGCGAATGGCGTGGGCGTGGAGAGAAAGGTCTCGACGGGCAAAGCCGCTCTCGTGCATTCCGCGCGAAGCCACGTGGCGGTATTTAAGGTCCCGCTAATGCACCCATCGCGCTTGTATATCTCGTGCAAAATTGTTGGCGCGTTTACTTTGCGCCGACCCGAATTCCGGTGCTCTCGCGCCCACCAAAACATAAAATTAAAAATTAACTAATGAAAAACGCGAGCGAGGAACGCTCAAAGCTCAAAGAATTTTGCCGGCGCTCCTTTTTTAGCGATATGTAGGCCGTATCTCGCGAAATATTCGCTTTCCCTGAAATAATCCGAAGTAATGAATTCAGCCTGAATTACTTCAAATTTGAGACGCAAGTTTGCAAGCAGATACATATGTCATACTTCGCATGTTTCTTTATATTATTTTTATATTATCTTTGAATTGATTAATTATACTTAGATATAATATTAATCATTGCTATTCATCGTAATGTATTCTTTATGTACATATATGTTGTGCACAGATGTAATCAGAATATATAATTACAATTTACTTAAATAATGTTAGTTTGATAAATTATGATAAAAAAGCGCGAGCGAAAAATGTTAACGCGCATGCTTTCGATTGACACGTTGATTAGGGACAAGAGATGCACGTGTCTCGTTTGCATGTCATCTTTATCGTCTCCGCATGTACTACCGAGACCGGAACAACGAGGGAGGAAGAGGTCGCTGGACCGGCGGAAACTTATAGCGAACCAGACTGGTAGAGACGGGGTTGAATGCTAAGCACGGCCAGTCGGTTACATTTGCTTGCCGCCCAGCCTCTTAATGAAAACCAACAGCATGGAAACGTCAGGTTTGCTTTGCCTTAAAATTAGAGGCACGACTCGCTTAGCACGGGTATTCCCAACGCAAACGGAATAAGGTTCAAATGCACGGCTAATTCGCTATGCCGTTTTACATTTTATATCTTGCCCACGATCAATTATCTATATATTCGCGAATCTTTTTATCTATATAAATCAAAATAAATTTAAAAGAGGGAATGTTTTTTCAAACCATAAAATGATTGATAATCAAATCGGTTAAAATTCAAATTCAAATCAAAAAGTTAAAATTTGATTAATATTACGTTGCAACTATTCGGAAAGAAATGTAATTTTATTTCTATAAAATTTAGTTTGCACCAAGACTGAAGATTAATTAAACGCGGATTTTTCTTTTTTAGAGATAATATATTTCTTTATAATCTATTCTTTAACATAGGCACAGAAAGAAAATTTAGTCGATTCTAACGAACGCACTTACAAACGGACCGAAGGCTTTAGCTTCGACCAGCGAGGCGAGCAGTAATAGCCCTCACGATTGTCTACTTCATCGTGACTACTTATAAAGCGATAAAGCATCGTCTCGCGAAAAGAACCATCCGCTCGTTTACCTTTTAACGATCGCGAGAAGCGCGGACGCAATAACTCGACGGAAAAGTAACCGGAAGAGCCTCCCATTGCTCGTTACGTAGCGTCTACGCTTTTACACTCTCCGATACACTCAGTCTTAACTTTTTACTCTCTTCATCGGCCTTTACGGAAAATTAACGATGGTACGGTGGAGTGAGGCGCTCGATTAGAGACTGAATATTTATGTTCGCCTTCTGTGTCCTTCTTCTCTTCCCCTTTAAACTCTCCCCATTATTTGCAAAAGAAAATGCTTATCCGCGCTTATCTTAACAAAAACGCAATGTCCAATTATTTTTCATTATTTCTTTATTTTTGTCAAACTTCATATGCCAGCTTCCATAATCAAACTTTTTCAAATGACTTTTATCGTATCTACGATAATGAAATAAATCGAGCGAGATAAAGAAATTAAAAGAGTGTGCTTTCATATTTATGCCAATTATTATCATAATTTGTGCAGATCTATCAATAATAACCAACAAATGTATAAAAAATAATAAATTAATTTCTCGCAGACTCAAATTTTTTACAGATACATTTCAGACAAGTATAGAATTAAAAATTGGCGAAAAGAAAAAATTACGCGCTTCATTTTAGTAGTTGTTAGGCGTTATAAGCCTACCAGAGACCTCGGAGTGGCTCGTGACGACATAAAATTCGACGCAGGTGCGTATCGCACGTGTTATCGACTAGAGATAAACGCCAGACGATACACGATGCACCAGGGACGGCGGTAAGTCGTGTTGTTGGATGGTGCGATCAAACTGAACGCTCGCGTCGATAGCGCTCGCATCCCCTGCTTGGTCCGCTCGCACGACAAATCGCGACGCGATTAAAAAACGATTAATGTTTCCTCGGATCTACATCGATACGACGATCATTTCTTTTCGTGTTAACGCATTCTCTATGACATATTAATGTATTCGTTAATTGATAGAAATGTCAATCGTATTTTATTCTTGTAACGCGATAATTTTATCTCGCGAAACTTCTTTTACGTTAGGCTTTTATTTTCGCTAGTTTATGTATCAATATTTTTCTTTTTTTGTCATAGCAAAAGTTACGTAAGTATCAAATGATAAGAAAATATATATTGCAAAATATATATCAAACATCTCGCTTGAATGCAAGGCGTAATTACGCGTATCTTTCGTATCCTGCGGATGCCCGCATCTCTGTTCAGCCGCTCCCCCCGTTTCACAGCGCGATTCGAAAGCGATTAATATTATACGGAGTTGCCGATGCGCGGTTGGCATCACGGTTCTCCGTCACGGAAGAGGAGAACAGAAAAGAAGAAGCCGAAGCGGCGGCGGAGGTGGCGGCAACCGCTGCAACCGGCAACGAAACCAATAACTATTAATCGAAGCGCCACCGCACATTCAGCAAAGTCGACGCGATTCGAACGCGCGGCAGCCCTCGATTACATACCCCATTCCCTTCGCATCCCACCCCCGTGCATCGAGACACGCACGTATTTCAAACGGCGAACACCGTTCTCTAAACGCGAAGCCATGCCTCTCTTTACAGCTCTTTCATCTTGCGCCGCTTTTCCGATTAAGCACGTCGGTGTAATGGTGTGCGGCTGATCTCGCGATGTATCTCTAAGGAAATATATCTTTAGCCCGTTCAGTCTCAGATATTCCGTAAATCCTCGAAACGCGTGCATTGGTTTCTCGAAAATTAGATATAAATGTTTATTCATACTTATGCAAGTTTAAAGAATATATGTAAATTGTATTAAAGAAGTTCAAAAAATTCAGATAATTGTGAAAAAATTAATATTATTTGCTACATTTTTAGCAATAAATATTAGAGATTTTTTTCTATCTAATAAAACATCATAGATGATCCTTTCGATCCATTTTACAACGCAATGATTCAAAAATATATGATAGTATTCGGTGAAAGGAATCGAGATATCTCAGAAAATGACATTTAGACGAGATATTCGAACCTGACATTACATTACTTCCGGTTACCAACGTATCGAATACAAGCGCGAGAGAGGAATCAAATCGAGTATAGTCAACATGATTATTATCAAGAAAACGTAGCTAGGTAGATAATGTTGCTATGGTCGCGCTCAGTTTACCATCCTTAAACTGTTACACATATAATTCTTTGTGATCGGCGGCGTGACGTACTAAAGTGCACGAGCAACTCGAAGATATACGATAAACGAATATCCGGAAGGGGCGGTTTGGAATTTTGGACTCTATCCGTACGAGAAAAGGATAGAGAACGGCTTTCTATCTTTCGTACACATACATACATACATATATATATATATATATATATATATATATATATATATATATATATATGTGACCTATCTGGGATGCACGACTTAACAAACGATCGCTACTCTGCGGCGTCGAGGCAGGTGAAATCGAGAATGCGGCTTGGGATAGAAAAGTCTATTTTCGAATATACTTGAAAGCGGACCAGAAGATCTTTTCGAATAAAAATTTGTCGATATCTGTTAGCCTCTCTCATGACTTTTAATTTTATAAAATAATGTTATTATGATAAAATGTAGCCGATAGAGTTGTGTGATTAAATATTATAGGATTTTATAAAAAGTCTCAAGCTCGAAGAATATTGCACAAAATTTCGTTTTTTCGTAAATTATTAAAGTTTGTACGAATATTTTTTAACGAACAAGATATTACATATGTAGGATTATATTGGTTGGTGTATCAGAGATATTATGCATTTTATTCACTCACCGTAGCTGCCATGAAGAAATGAGAGGCGGCTTGGAGGACGGCAGTTGTGGCTTCAGTGCACGAGCCATAGCCAACTGGTGTTGTCTATTGACATACTGTAACGATATAGAAAAATCATTCTTCCCTGATTATGCACCAGTGTAAAATCAAATTCAGATAATTTTTATCACATTCAAAGTGCGTTCACAATGCTTGATTTATCCTAAGCTAAATATGTCGTGAAATTCTAAAAAATATTCGAGAGAAACATTTTTGTACAGAAAGTATAGCGAAACTCGAATGAATATCTACGTTACACGGTATATATACGTAGCAAATTGAAGAATTTTATTTTGTGCGTATAATATTTGACGCGGAGAGGCCACAAGAGAGAGAGAGAGAGAGAGGGGGGGGAGGAGGGAGAGGGAGAGAGAGAGAGAGAGAAAATGACACTTTTGTCTCTGGAGAGGGGTTTTGTCTCCAGCAACGCAGAAATATGATTTCGCAAGCCTCAGCAATATAACGCAATAAATTTTACGGGAACTGTTTCAATTTTGACAAGTGATTTTTACGAAAATATGCTCCGCTCAAGAGATAACGATTAAAACGAGGAAGAGATAAGAACGTATTAAAAACGTCGTTCATTTATCGGCAATTTTTCAATACCGGCAATTTTTCAGTCGCTCGTAAAAAGCGCGAATTACTCAAATGTATCGTTACGCAGAAATCAATTTCAGTCGGATTCAGTGGCAAACGAACGAGGGTGTATCCGGCGAGAGGGAAAGGGTAATCGGAAACTAATTGGAAGTAAATACGGTCCCGTGTAATTGCATGTTTTAATTTGAAGTCACGGAAGTCACGCCTCGTGCCAGTTCGTTCGATACATGGATGATACTATTAGGATGATAGGCCTTCATTTACCGCGCGCTTTAAAAGAACTGTAAGAACTGTATTATAATTATTCAAAAATTACATCTTTATCCGGTTGAGGCTACCGACAACGTTTCGAAGTTTCGTTGTGATAAAATAAAATCGTCGAAATTCTGATCGTTCCTTCGCCGGCATTTTATTGGAGATTCCTGTGCAGTGTCTCGATGCGATTTAAGTTTAATATATTGGCTAAAAGGCAAGCCCGCAAAATTGTATTTTAAATGCACTACATTAAATCTATTTATTGCTCTCTTTTCTATGAGTAATATCCTCACTAAAATGAAAACCTTGTTGAAATAACGGACATTTATGATTTGCTCCGATAACGTTATGATAACGAAAATACAGGATATCATGAATAAAATGTATTGCGTATTACCGATTATACATATCAATTATTCAATTCACGCGTTACATATTTATATACATACCTATAATCGTCCAATATATCTTAAATAATCTAACAGTGAGAATCGAAAATATTTCTCTAATTGTAAGCGGGTAATAATGTAAAAGGCAATATTTTTAAGTATTCAGGAGCGGTTATCCAAATATTATACGAATTATTGCTAATTAATAAAATATTGTAATTAATAAATTTATAAAATATCGTAACAAATTGGCACATCATACCAATGAAATATTCATCAATAATGTCTGTACAACATAATTTTATCACACTGACCCCTCCAAATGGCAGACGCGTTTTATTGCATCCCGCTGCGCAACAAGAGGCAGTTTCGCGCTGACGGTAGGATTCGCATTTTCTATAGAGAACTCTTGGGTATCGCCGCAGAAAGAAAAGCTCGAAACGAATCAATCCAATCAGAGACGACATTGTGCGATTCGCTCCGCTCTCTCTCTCTCTCTCTCTCTTTCCGCACCAGTAAACTCGGTTTGCTGCGCCCGGTACACCTCGGCAAATTAACCCAAGTTTCACGCGCCCCAGCCAAAACTTGATACTCTTGGCACGGCCAATCAAACTTCGAGTTTCGGTAATCCCCGGGCCAAATACTCCCGTTTACACATTACAGGTTATGGTATAAGACGGCCCGTTTCCTCGAGTTTCACCGCCGTTAATACCCAGAGTTTCCGCCGCAAGTTGTCATCCGGTGGCGGCAGCCGGTTACAACCGCGAGACCGCGATTTCCTCGTACGAAGCGAAAAGAAAGAGACAAATTATGCAAAAGTGTCTAAGATCATACTGTTGACTTTTGTGGAGATCACGTCCGCTGACTCGTCTAGGTATAGAAATTCTTACTATAGCAGCACGCGCAGACTCTACCATTCGTTAATCGAGTTAATTAGCGAAAAACGTGTACATAAAGGCGGAACGAGAAAAAGAGATTGCAGCGATCGCTATAAAACTAGGAGAAGAAAACCGAAGGACCGAGTTTTACCAAATGAAATTACTTGAAGCAACCGCATTACTTTTTCAGTGCCACTATCCGATCGGGTGCTTCCCTTGTTACGAAGTCGTACGATGACCATCAGCCAACCCAACCCTCCATCCAAGACCAGCTACATTCCATGGATTTCGAAGGGAAACGCCGATGTATTCCTCCATTCCCGTTCTTGCCCGTAGGTTCCATCAGGACCTCCCGCCCTCTCTCTTTCCGTCGCACAGTTCCGTTCGAACACGGTCACATGTATATGCAAATTTATTCTACCGATGCATTAGTGAGCGCGTCGCGGGACTTTGTGTGCGTCAATATATACGTGCGTAAGCATATAGGTACTTGTACGAGACGCTTACGGCCCTGATATACCCCGCGGGGCGCGTGTACGTCTGTGTGAGTGAGAAGATCCGTATAGTCCAAGCTGATCACGGCGGAGAGAGGATCATAAATTAAATGATGTAAATGCTCCGTCCACCCTCTATCGCAGCGAGTGGAGACGACACACAACATCATCCCCTCGCGCCCACCACTCCCTCCTTGCCGCCAATCTCCCCGAACCACCACCCTGACCCCGACGATCGTCCCCCTTGCCTTGACGTTGAACCCGACTGATTATAATTATCGGGACTCTGGCCCCTCGCGCGGGATGAAAGCGAGCGGATGACGAAGAAAACGAGCGTGCTATTTATTATGTTAGTTCTGCGAAATGTGATGGATGCGAAATGTATTTGAAGCTTATCATGATTTGCACGATTCGATAACGAAAGAATGGGAAAGAGATGGGGGAAAAGGATGCGAGCGGACTGAAGGGTAATCGGAAACTAATTGGAAGTAAATACGGTCCCGTGTAATTGCATGTTTTAATTTGAAGTCACGCGAAAGCGTTCTCGTGCCAGTTCGTTCGATACATGGATGATACTATTAGGATGATAGGCCTTCATTTACCGCGCGCTTTAAAAGAACTGTATCGTAAGTTCTATAATTATTCAAAAATTACATCTTTATCCGGTTGAGGCTACCGACAACGTTTCGAAGTTTCGTTGTGATAAAATAAAATCGTCGAAATTCTGATCGTTCCTTCGCCGGCATTTTATTGGAGATTCCTGTGCAGTGTCTCGATGCGATTTAAGTTTAATATATTGGCTAAAAGGCAAGCCCGCAAAATTGTATTTTAAATGCACTACATTAAATCTATTTATTGCTCTCTTTTCTATGAGTAATATCCTCACTAAAATGAAAACCTTGTTGAAATAACGGACATTTATGATTTGCTCCGATAACGTTATGATAACGAAAATACAGGATATCATGAATAAAATGTATTGCGTATTACCGATTATACATATCAATTATTCAATTCACGCGTTACATATTTATATACATACCTATAATCGTCCAATATATCTTAAATAATCTAACAGTGAGAATCGAAAATATTTCTCTAATTGTAAGCGGGTAATAATGTAAAAGGCAATATTTTTAAGTATTCAGGAGCGGTTATCCAAATATTATACGAATTATTGCTAATTAATAAAATATTGTAATTAATAAATTTATAAAATATCGTAACAAATTGGCACATCATACCAATGAAATATTCATCAATAATGTCTGTACAACATAATTTTATCACACTGACCCCTCCAAATGGCAGACGCGTTTTATTGCATCCCGCTGCGCAACAAGAGGCAGTTTCGCGCTGACGGTAGGATTCGCATTTTCTATAGAGAACTCTTGGGTATCGCCGCAGAAAGAAAAGCTCGAAACGAATCAATCCAATCAGAGACGACATTGTGCGATTCGCTCCGCTCTCTCTCTCTCTCTCTCTCTTTCCGCACCAGTAAACTCGGTTTGCTGCGCCCGGTACACCTCGGCAAATTAACCCAAGTTTCACGCGCCCCAGCCAAAACTTGATACTCTTGGCACGGCCAATCAAACTTCGAGTTTCGGTAATCCCCGGGCCAAATACTCCCGTTTACACATTACAGGTTATGGTATAAGACGGCCCGTTTCCTCGAGTTTCACCGCCGTTAATACCCAGAGTTTCCGCCGCAAGTTGTCATCCGGTGGCGGCAGCCGGTTACAACCGCGAGACCGCGATTTCCTCGTACGAAGCGAAAAGAAAGAGACAAATTATGCAAAAGTGTCTAAGATCATACTGTTGACTTTTGTGGAGATCACGTCCGCTGACTCGTCTAGGTATAGAAATTCTTACTATAGCAGCACGCGCAGACTCTACCATTCGTTAATCGAGTTAATTAGCGAAAAACGTGTACATAAAGGCGGAACGAGAAAAAGAGATTGCAGCGATCGCTATAAAACTAGGAGAAGAAAACCGAAGGACCGAGTTTTACCAAATGAAATTACTTGAAGCAACCGCATTACTTTTTCAGTGCCACTATCCGATCGGGTGCTTCCCTTGTTACGAAGTCGTACGATGACCATCAGCCAACCCAACCCTCCATCCAAGACCAGCTACATTCCATGGATTTCGAAGGGAAACGCCGATGTATTCCTCCATTCCCGTTCTTGCCCGTAGGTTCCATCAGGACCTCCCGCCCTCTCTCTTTCCGTCGCACAGTTCCGTTCGAACACGGTCACATGTATATGCAAATTTATTCTACCGATGCATTAGTGAGCGCGTCGCGGGACTTTGTGTGCGTCAATATATACGTGCGTAAGCATATAGGTACTTGTACGAGACGCTTACGGCCCTGATATACCCCGCGGGGCGCGTGTACGTCTGTGTGAGTGAGAAGATCCGTATAGTCCAAGCTGATCACGGC